AAAAAAAAAAAAAAAAAAAAAACCTTTTTCCAATCAGCACCATTATATATTTTGATCATATCACGTGGGACAATATTTGAGATGATTTGTGTCAATTGAGATAATGGTGCTGATTTATCATCGCGCGTACGAGCACGTAGAATTACTGCTGCTATATCTACTGCTTGTTGTCGTGTCACTGCATGATAACCACGCAAGTACTTGGGTAGTTCCTGGATTATATTTTCACTGCTCATATATTTAAATTATTTCTTGCTTCCAACCATTTTATTCGAAAGGATTAGTATCAGTTTAAAATTTCATTCAAAGTAATAGAAATTAGATATTAATTCAAAAAAAAATATCGGGTTGAATACATGAATTAAAACAAATCATGATAATAATATGGAACAAAACTGCTTGTATAAATTTATGGAACTAATATTAACCTGCGGATAATGGAAAATTAAATCAGCAATACGATCTTTCCCGGGTATTGTACCAATCCACAACTTTTTCATGAAGAAAATTTGATAAGAAAAGTTATATACAGTTCCATGTTTGGGATGCATCCATTCAAATAATTGTTGCAAAAAATCAAAGAAAAATTCATTATCAGGCACTGAGATCACTAAACAAATTTACATTAACAAGTTGAAAAAAAGTAATATACATTTTTAAAGTATATAAATAATATACTAAACTAATGAATTGAACTTTAACCTCTGCCGTTAACTTTAACAAATAATGCAAATCCTTCTACTGAGTTAAGAGCTAAACGTGTTCCAATACGATTGCAAAAATCTTGAGCTTTTGTTGTTGAGTCGACTTCCACAATTTCATTTGTATTATCCGGGAAGAATACTTTATGGAAAATTTGCACAGTACGCTGTCGAATTGCTTTTACTTCAACGTCATGTGGTGGAAATTTTCGACATCCACTTCTAAAATACTATGCAGATTTTATTTTTCTTACTACAAATCAAGCGTATTATCTGTAAATATTGACTTTAAGCAATATTTAAGCTATACCGTTGAATTCTTCGAAGTCTAATATAACACTGTAGAGCTAAAGGATGCTGCCGAGTTTTGAAAAATAATTCGACTTCTTTTTGAAGAAATTGACTTGGTGGGAAAATTCCTGTACATAACCACATTAGCTCCCAGTTATGCTCCAAACTTGCCAAATTATAGTTATATGTTAATTGCTTCATTAACTGACAATAAATTTCATCTCGAATAATTTCCTAAAAATATAATTTAGCTCAAAATAATAAGTAAATAATTAGATAATAAGTAAATAATTACTACACTTAATAATAAGACAAAAACGAAGCAATAGACTTCGGTAAGTATTCCACACTTTAATTGCTTATTATTATTATCAACATTTATCAGCATCACCATTACTGCTTTATGCTGCTAATACTGTTTTCCGCATTATTTTTTCTTACAAAGTCTTCTATGTATTTGATCAAAAGCAAATATATTATTATAATCATTTTCATAATAAGTAAATATTTAGTAAATTTTTAAATTTAAAAAAATGTGGCACTCACGTATTTAAATCCTGCCCTGAAAACTTCATCGGTAAGTTGAGTAATAGTGAAAATACGTCGACAGGGGTAATCACCAGTATACTTAAGTACTGCTAAATATCCTTTAATAGCAGCTTGTGATATCTCTCTTCGTCCTTGCAATTTCTACAAGAAAAAACAACAGCTTTAGATTTCTATTATGAAGCAATTAGTAAGATTGTAAGCATTAATAACAGTAAAGATCATTTGTGCTCTTCTGATTTCGTTCAGAATAGATCAACATAAATCTTAGATCATTTTTGTTGTTAAAGATTATGGGATAAATCTAAAGTCAACATATTCTCATTAATACTTTATTAGCTTTTCTCATACTAAGTTCATAAATTCAACACAATAGTGATGCAATAATAAATATTTTTTATGCAAATTCTTTAATCAAATTAAGTCAATACTCCAATTTTATCAATTTTTTTATACATTAAAATACCGATAAATTTGTTTTTTTGTTAGTTAATTA